GCTGCCGCCGCCTCGCCGCCGCTCCTAACTTTCGCTGGCGGCTGCTGCCAGCGCGGGTTCGAAACGGGCGTTGCTAAAGAAAGCCGGGGCAACCCCCCGTGGTGCCTAGGAGGGACAATCGCGTCCATTTTTCCGGCGGGGTAGTAGCTCTTCACTTCAGGAATCCTTGATGGCAACCTGGGTGGCGGGTGGGTGGGTGGCTATTATCGCCAGCGGACGGACAAAGGCTTGTCCAGAACTAGGGAGTTTATGCTCGAGAACTGCCTTGACTCGCCGCCCAAGTTCTGAGCAATCCCGCCACAACTGCTCCAGCGCATTCAAGGTCCAAAGCCATTTTTCACCCGTGCCACTCCTGGGTTGGATGCCAGGGGAGCCCGGGTGGTGAAAGATGCTAACCTTCTTCCATCATGCAATCCCCGAGGCTAAAGGGAGCAGAAGCATGGCCCACTATTAATAACCTGGCAAGGGGCTTTCTGAACTTTTCTTTGAAGTCACTCCTCCAGAGTTCAGTGGAAATTGTTCCTGAGTAGAGCCCAGGGAGTTGCAGCAGCTCAGGCCTAGGCATGTTTGCACAGAAGTATGTCTGGCTGTGGAGTTTACTTTTAGATAGGACTGCGGATGTAGACTCTATTTCGGTTTCTACACACAGTATTCTCTTAATTGGGTTGGGAATAAATCCTAAGTGACCTTAGTGAGGCTTACTTTTGAGATGCCTTGAATGCCAATGGTTGTCTAGGTTTGATTGACCTCCTCTTCTCTCCATAAAGAATATGTTTTTAGGAACCTATAAACAATCCATTCCGCTTGCTCAATGAATTTGCTAAAATGTATTGTTACAACACACTCTTACTAGCTGGATGTAAAATCTACATTTTTACTGCCTCAAGAAGGAGGCTTGTAGTAAAAGATCCAGCTTTTAGCAGATGTCCTTTAGCTTCAAAAGCAGCCAGCTGAAGGCCCACCAAATATAGAAAAAACTCCTTTCCAGCACCCAGAGACCTGAGGTAAGCTTAAAAGCATGTCAAAATAGGCAGGGGAGAATCTCACTCTGACAATCTGGATGTAACATTTACATCTTGATCTGGAACATCTTGGTTCATGCTAAATGGATTCAAACTTCCTTAAATCTCTCTCTCTCTCTCTCCCCTCCCCTACTGTCTGTATTTGGATGACTGAAATCTTGCCCCAAGTTGAAATGCTCGGTAGACCAGTTGAAACATTTAAGAGGATAAAATTATTATTTTTTCCTGAACTGGATCACTTCAGGGTGTAGGTAGAATTTTATTGATTTATGACTGCAGTGAACAGGCAACAGGCTGCATGTAGAGGAAAAAAATGCATCTTTGAATTTTCTGCCTTAAGAATGATTGGAAAAGCAAGAATAAGAAGGAAATGTCCATCCACATTTGAGAGGAGGATGCCACACAAAACACATTATGTGATACGTATTGTGAATGTTGTAATGGGCATTAACCTGTAGCTTGATGTTGTATAGTCCAGAGAAGTTTTTATCACAGCCCATCTGAATGTACCTACTAGCACAAAAAAAAAAAAAAGCACTGGGGTTTGATATCATTATATTTTGATCACCAAAATCCCTTAATTGGAATGAATTCGGTGAAAAACCATGCAAATGATCATATAAATGACTGTGAGTGAATTAAAGGCCTCCCTAAGAATTTTGCACATACGGTATTTACCTGGAAGCAAGACCTTATTTTAATTACAAATATTTTGGAGAAGGCCAGTTCAGGATGGCGCTGATATTTGGAATTTGAGCATCCATATCCCTTATCCTTGAAGCCTGCTAATCTCTTTAGCCTGGATGTAAATAATGTTGCATTGAACTTTTTAAAAAGGTTACATACTAGTCCCAAATATATTTTCTTGGAAATAACTTCTATGATCTTCAACATCACTTATTTGAAAGGCTCGGATGTTTTCTTCCTGTTGGTATTTTAAAATATGGAAGATTAAAAAAAGACGATGATGGTGCTTCTGTTGATTGGTTCGAAGATGTTCAAGATCCTGTTGGGAGCAAGACATTCTGGATTTTACTGGACTTGTTTCCTCAATACCCATGGATAGCTTGCATTATCTATATTTGGAGGCCTATTTTGCATATTATGTTAACAAGTAGGTTAGAACATTTAAATAAGAACTAACATCTTCTGCTTTTCACCAATGTAGTATATGAAACAACAAGCCTGAATAGTATGGATGGAATAGACCATAATATTCAATAACACTAACACTAACAACAACAGTAATGTGCATTTATTTAGCAAATGTTCAAAGAGCTTCACAGTCATGACCTCAGTGCAATAACTTTATAAGGAAGGAAGGACAGTATTATTCCTGTATTGTGATTTGGCATGGGAATGAGTCTTTCCTTTCCTTTCCTTTCCAATGTCCATTTGAAACTTGAATTTCCACTGAGTCTGAATAGCAATGTTGAACTTTTGCATTATCTGAGACCAATCCCAGAGGCTATGTTGAATAAAATCCAGGAAGTTCATTCTGAAATATGGAAATAACACATTGGAAATACCAAATTGGCATCTTCAAAAAGCCATCCTAAGTGTAAAATTAATACAGTTTGTTTAATTTTGTTTAAATTTAAACTTAAATTAAGTTTGTTTAAATTTTGTAAGACTAGCAAGCTATTTTATCCAGTAAAAACAAGACATCAGGACTGAATGAATGAGAGATCTGGTCTTTGTTGCAATGCTTTCAGTCTATTTCTGCCTTCGGGCACTGTTTGTTGCTCATTTTTGGAGATGCCCAAAAAGCATTATTGGCTCTAATGTACAAGAACTTGCAAAGTGGAACATTTATTTATTTTTCTTCACACCATGATGTGATGTTCAAAGGACTGAAACATATTAGGAAGCCCTTTGGGGCTTTCAGAGTGAAAGGAACATTATTAATTTGAACTATAATGGCAGTACGTATATTTAAATATTAATGATTTACCTGGTATTGACCTGCATTTATTCAAACCCATCAGTGTAAGAACTGAACAGCTTAAAAAGTATGTGTGTGTATACGTGAGTAAGGTGACAGGGGAGGAGAGCAATCAGAGATGACTGATTCTTATTATTTAAACTGTATGTTTTACATGAAATCAGACTATGGAATACATACGTATTGGGCAATAATTCTATATATATTGGAATATAAGCTCCACTGAAAAGCAATTGGTCTTACTCCTGGAATGACCATGATTCAGTAACACATGAATATGTGCTTTTCCGGTCAGATAATTTTCAGTGTGAATGCACTAAAATTATATATTATTTTTTTTAAAAAAATAGACGACCCATTTACTGTTAAAACAGCATTCACTTCTTCGTTTTTGTGTCTTGTTTTCTTTAAAGGTGCAATGTAACACATTTCTTAGACCAGAGATTTTTATCCTTAAGCCACTAAGACCAGTGAATGTTGTAGATTTAAGATTTTTCAGTTTACAGATGCTTTAGTCTAGGCCTTCCTTAAGCTGAAGTGTTGAAAAAAGGAAAACAATAACTGAGGTAAATTAGTACACATTTTAGGGCTTGCCTATATATAAGCTAACACCTCTAATAGCAGGCAGAGCGCTTCACTGCAGAGTGGCATATTGTGAAGACGATTCAGAGCCTCCTGTGCGTGAATCTGTGTGTGAAGTTTTTGGAGAGTTGTAGCAGCACAATCTGTTCTCTTTGGCTCAAAATAGTTCCCTTAAAGATGCGGCTGCCACTCTTCTTTTGTAGGTGCTTGCATACAAGGTGCGTTTCCACCTAGGACCAGCCACCCAAACACGTACCAGTTTAGATGAAGGTAAAAATTTGAATCTGCATGGAATCTCCACCTTTGAGAGTGCTGGACTGCAACATTATATGGTGAAGAAATGGATGGAGACAGCATTAGGCAGTGAAATTTCCTGAGTCAGCCTACCATCATTACTAGGAGGAATTGTGTGGCAAATGCCACAAAAATCAGTTATATATCAACATAAGTTTATTTCTTAGAGCATCACAAGAAGGAAAAAAAGGCATGGAATGGAGCAAATGATGAGGGAAGAAGCAATTCTCACAAGAACCTAAGTGTATTAAGATTGCTTGCATTTGGGAAAATCTGTAATATGTAGTTATGAGAACTGGGAAAAGAAAAAGAAAAAAGGAGATTCCTGTGCGACCAATTTTTTTAGGTTTTCAGTGATGCAGACAATTGTTGTTTTTTTGTAGGGATTGTAGCTGGGGAGGAAAGGTATTAAATGTCTCCTTCCTGTGATCATACAAGATAAGAAGACTTCACACACTTATGATTAATGCAAAAAACACACAGGCACAAAGAGCTAGATAACTAAGTGTAATGTGCAGTTTGGCCCTTAGTTTACTCTGAGCAATTATGCAATTCTATAAACTTGGCTAGTGCTTCAGTGAACTTGCTGCATTCCTTAGAACAGAGTTTCTCAACCTTGTCAACCTGAAGATGTGTGGACTTCAACTCCCAGAATTCCCCAGACAGCCATGCTGGCTGCAGAATTCTGGGAGTTGAAATCCATACAACTTCGAGCTGCTAAGGCTGAGAAACACTGCCTTAGAATGTACTTCAGAATCTTTAAAACTCATGGATTCCACAGCCAACACTCAAGATTCCTTGACAATCAAATCAATATGACATGGTTCTCTGAGGACCAAAGGTTTGAAGGTGAAAAAGGCAATAAAGCATATATCTAAAACCAAACCAAATATATCATGTTGTAGAGTATGAATGAAAGGAACTACGATGTATGTGACACATTCATAAATGTTTATGTCATAATATATGAGACTGTAATGTGCCATAGAATGTACGCTTCTATGGATACCACATATGTCTAC